TATCCGCTTGAGCTTCTTCTGCTCTCTGGCCTTCATCTGCCTCTCGCGCAGCTGCTTGCGCTTCTTCCGCATCTCAATGAACTTCAGCTGATCCTCTTTGCTCAGAGCGCCAATGCGAGCGGCGTATTGGCGACGCTTCTCCTCCAGCTGGGCAGCGACTTCGGCATCGGCAATCCTTTTAGCTGCCTCGAGCTTCTGTTTCTGCTGCTCTGCCTTGGCTGCGGCTGCTGCCTTTTCGGCTTCCTCCTTCTGCTTGCGCTCCTGCTCGGCGCGCTCGATTTCCTGTTCCAGCTGGCGTTTGCGGGCCTTTTCCTCCTCCTGTAATTCCTGGCGGAGTCGCTCCTCTTCTTCGGCCAGCTTGCGCTCCTCGGCTTCGCGCTGTGCGATTTCTGCCTCGCGTTGGCGTTGACGTGCTTCACGTCGCTCGTTTTCTTCGTGCAGGCGCTCCAGTTCACGCTGCTCGAAGCGGCGCGCCTCTTCTAGGCGCTCTAGCTCAAGACGCTTCTCCTCTTCCTGCTGTTCGCGGCGTATTTGCTCTTGGCGCTGGCGTTCCTGCTCTTTCAATCGCTCTTCAATGGCCTTTTGCTCGCGACGCTTTGCCTCACGCGCCTCCTGCAATTGGCGCTCCTGCTCCGACTTGGCCTCCTGCAGTCGCTTCTCATGCTCTTCGCGGAGACGCTTCTCCTCGGCGGCGCGCTCAGCCGCATAACGGCGATCGGCCTCCTCCTGCTCAGCCTTCTGCTTGCGCAGCAGTTCTTCACGAGCTCGTTTCTCCTCGGCCTCAAGTTCTCGTTGCTTCTGCAGTCGCTGCTCGCGCAATCGCAGGGCTTCGTCATCCTTGGCACGTTGGCGTTCCTCAATCTCGTGCTGCTGCTTTAGCCGTTCCAGTTCACGTTCCTGCTGCTCTTTGCGCTGTTGCTTCTCCTGTTTGTCCAGCTGCTCTCGCTGCTCGCGCTCTTTTTTCTGCTGCTCCTCAATGGCGCGCTGACGCAGTGCCTCCGGCTCGCTCGGCGGCTCCTGTTGCTGCAATTGCTCATGCTCCTGCTGCTGTTGGCGCTGGTGTTCCTCCTCCTGCTTGCGCTGGCGCTTCTCCTCACGCATCTTGCGCTGTCGCTCGAGTCTCTCCTGGCGCATGCGCTGTCTGCGCTCGCGTTTGCGCTGCTGCCTGTTGCGCTCCTTCTCGCGCTGGCGCTGCAGGATGCGATCGTAGGCCGTCATCTGTTGCTGTGTGGTGGGCGCGCTCGGGCGAGTGGCACTCGTTGAGGTGACGTTGTTGCTGATGACCAGCGGAGCAGGCGCCACAGTGGTGCTCACACGTGGACGCTGCTTGCGTGGACGCTGCTGATAGTTGATGTCGTTGGGATGTTGCTGCTGGCGATTGCGTCCCGGATAGCGGCGATTGGCCGGACGATTTTTGCGAGCGGGAATAATCATTTCCTCGTTGCTGCCCTCGGCCTTAACGCGGCGATGATATCTGCGCACAAACAAAAGCGATTAGTCTTTAATTAGATACTAAACTAATATATATAGAAAAGATCACATTAAGTATCTCTTTCTTTTCATTTGTAGGTGGAGTCTGTTAACTTGGCTCTGGAGATTTTGGATGATTACAATCTGCGCGGCCATAAGATTCACGTGCAGCGGGCGCAGTTTCAAATGCGCGGCGAATATAATCCGGCACTCAAGCCCAAGCGCAAGAAGAAGGACAAGGAAAAGTTGCAGAAAATCAAGGAAAAGTAAGTAGCAAAAGCTTTTAAGTGAAAGGACTGCCACATATTGATTTATTCATTCGCAGGTTGTTCGATTGGCGACCTGATAAAATGCGTGGCGAGCGTTCGAAGAACGAGAAAACGGTCATCATTAAAAATCTCTTCACGCCGGAGCTGTTCGAGAAGGAGGTGGAGCTCATCCTGGAATATCAAAATAGTCTGCGTGAGGAGTGCAGCAAATGCGGCATGGTGCGCAAAGTTGTGATCTATGATGTGAGTGGCTCCAGAAGACCCGTTATATGCTGTAGTTAACTAATTTTATTGTCATTGCAGCGCCATCCCGAGGGCATAGCTCAGATCAATATGTCCACGCCAGAGGAAGCCGACATGGTCATACAAATGATGCAGGGCCGATACTTTGGACAACGCCAGCTCAGCGCTGATCACTGGGATGGCAAGACCAAATACAAGTGAGTGGCCCTATTCCGTTTAAAATAGACAAAGTCTTTAATAAATGTGCTTGCAGAGTTGATGAATCGGCAGCTGAGGCACAGGAGCGTCTATCTAAATGGGATGAGTATTTGGCAGCCGAAGATGCGGCCAAGGAGGAGGCAGAAGAGGCGGCCAAGGAGAAGGCAAAAGAGGCGGCAAAGGAGAAGGCAGAAGAAGCGGCCAAGGAGAAGGCAGAAGATGCGCTCAGTGGCAGTCCGCAGACGGCTCAGGAAACAGCGTAAGCTGAATACAATATTCAGCTGCCCGATGAGTCGACTCTTCTTATGTTTCTATTTTGCGTACCTGTTGTCCTTGCCACGTCGATTGATGACCTCCAACACAACCTCATTGGCCAATTGATTGGGATAGGTTTCATTCCAGCGATTGTAGATCTTATACCGATTGGCCTCACTCACTTTTGGCATCTTGTGCTGGCAAATGAAGCGCAATTTGTCCGGACAGGAGCGAGCCGACCAACGATACTTCAAACTCGGATCGTAGACGGCGCAGTTATTGTCCAATGGCTTGCTGTTGGAGATAAGTTGCATATAGCTAAAATAGTTGCTTGAAGATTAACGACCCGCTAAATAAACTACAAAATACAATCAGTATGTTGTTGCATACGTACGTCGAGTCCATTTGGCTGAACGCATCGTAGGTCAGATTGCGTCCACTCGTGCTCCATTGCCAGTGCTTGTTGCGATGGTCGTAGGTGCCGCCAATCCAAATGGGATCGTGTTCTGTAAAATGCCAAGTGGAAGTTTGTATAAGTTGGAGTCAAAGTTGAGCAATTTAGTCGGTTTACCGCCGGATTGGGAGTCCACACGCTCCAGATAGATTCTTAGCTTGCGGTCCGCATTCTTGCCGGGCTCGGCCAGATTGGCGTTCTTATCCTTGCAAAAGAAGTAGGCCTCGAGCCAGCTGCTGCGCTGATCGACCAGGGAGTAGCAGTCGGTGCCGACGCGTTGGAACTGCGGCGGGCACATGGCGTACATGCGACGATTGTGCGGCCTGGCGGCCTGCACGGCCACATCGGCGCTCTGTGGTGCTGGCCCGCCGTCGAAGCTGACACCGGCGCTGGACGCGCTCATATGCAGCTGCGCCTGGCATGTGGACGTCACTGTAATGGAGGCAGGAGTATGATTATAATTAGTTGCTGCTGCATGCACGACGGGTCGTATGCGTAATTTACTTACATAAACCTAAGGTAATAATAGCTAGGCAGCTCAACATGATGCGGCTGCGGTTGCTGCTCATGTTGCACACTTAATGACTCCTTGTTGTTGTGGTTGTTGTTGTTGCTGTTTATTCTAGCTGCTGTTGTTGCTTGCTGGGCATGCAATTTATTTTCCTTATTCGCTCGTTTCAGCCGCTTGGCAACTTTTTACATTGCTGCAAAAAAAAAATAAAGAACAAATATAGTTGATGGTGGAACATTTGTTAGATGCTGAACTCTTTCAACTCCTGGCACATCTAATGCTGCTTATCATATTTTGTATATCTCTGTGCGAATGTTGATTTCATGCAAAAAAATTAAATAATAGCAGCGCGCGTTTCCGCTGATGGATGAGGCGACGCCGACGCAAAGACAAATTGAGCTGGCGAGAGATTCGTGAATGGATTTGTGTGATTTATTAACGACTCATTCATAAACAAATTTGACGCTCGTTTAACTGACCAAAAAGCACTCGCAGCTGGCCACTAACCGAGCCCAAGCTCGTGGCTTGGTCAACGCTTTCGTTGTCTCTCATTTAGCTAGCTCTACCTGTGTGTGTGTGTTTGTGTGTATTACCACTTAGCACTTTCAGCAATTGGCCAGCCGCTACTGCTGTTGCTGTTGCTGTTGCTCTTGCCAATTGCATTCTATTTTGTTTTTGTTTGATTTGCCTCTGTTTGTCTGCCATTTGCCTTGGCCCATTGGGCGTGACGCACACCACTCGATATGCATATAGTTTGAGCTGTCCATAAATATCAAATGGCATTCAAGCTCTGATTTAAATTCGTTTCATGCTGTCATTTTGTGGCTGACTAATCTAATATTAACTTTTAATCAATGGCCAAACGATTAACGCTTTATGTCAGTTGTCAAGCAGCATTACTTGCGCATTTGCCAGCATTATCAATAAATGTTTCTGTTTGGCTTATTAACATGTCTAAGCCCTTGTGTCAATACACAGCTCAAGCATATAGTCGACACATAACTGGACGAGTTAGCTTTTGGCCTTAGTATGCATTATTAGAGTTCCTCTCGTTAGTTTATATTATTTGTCATTTACATATTTCCTATACATTTGGTTGAGCGCTATGTAAATATATTTTATTTTCTATGCCTCTCTTGCCTATTCTCTCTCGCTCGCGCTGCTTGCCTCTCTCTCTCTCTCTCTCTCTCTCTCTCTCTCTCTATGCGGTTTCCTGACTTTCTGTTTATATTTCTCTCTTTTAGTCCCAACCTCTCTCAATTTATCTCGCATTTCTTTATCTTTTTGGTTAATCTATCTATATCATTATATATATCTAACTCTCTCTTTCTCTCTCTCTCTCTCTCTTTCTCTCCCTCTCTTTCTCTCTCTCTCTCTCTTTCTCTCCCTCTCTTTCTCTCTCTTTCTTTCTCTCTCTCTCTTTCTCTCTCTCTCTCTCTCTCTCTCTCTCTCTCTCCCTTACTCTTTAACTATATATCCCTCTTTAAATCACTCCCTTAATTTACCTTGTTAACTTTATATGTACATATATCAAGATGAAACTCCACCTCAATCAAGTCAAATACATTTTATTCCTAGAACTAATCACATTCCATTACATTCATTCGAATCGTTTTCCATTTTCAATTGATAGACGTTGCTTCTGTCTCTGCTCGTACTCGTAGCAGAGGCGCTGCCAGACGCCCAGGCACATGCGCATCAGGCGCTTGTCGCGCTTCTTGTGCAATCCACAGGCGAAGCGGTACTGAGCGCGGATGAGGAACTTGGCGCTGCGCAGCTGTCCGCGTTGTATCAAGGAGATGCTGTAGTAGAGCTTGCAACGCGCCTGCAGGAAGGGATCGCCCAGGCGCAGGCCAATCGCCAGCTGCTGCAGTGAGATCTCACCCGCTGTCTGTGCACACCTGGCGAACTGATCGCCCAGCGCCGAGTAGCCACCGCCCAGCGTGGACAGCCAGCACATCAGGTGCTCCAGCTTAATGTGCGTCCAAATGGTGTGCGCCAGCATCTCCGCCCACTTGTAGTCGATGGACCAGCGCTGTGGCATCTGAAATCTCAGCCAGACCAGCCGAACGCCCAGTTCTCGCAACAGCCACTGCTTCAGCACACGCTGCTGCAGCAGCTCCCGCAGCACATAGTTGCCACGCACTGCATCCAGCTCCAGCACCAAGCGACGCACAGGCTCCGTCTTGACCGTAGCGTTGCCCTCGCCGCCGCAGAGCATTTGGATGCGATCAGGCACGGGCCGATTGTAGAAGTGGCGATGGCTCCAATAATCACAGACACACACAATTAGCTCCATGATCAGAGTTGAAGTCAGTCTGAAAGGGTTTTCTAGTGTTTTATTCCTCAGGCTTCAACGTTGCGTACAAATTTTGTTGCATACTTTTCGGCAGCAGCGAAATTTCCGAGATCGATATTCAGCGATCGGTGCGCAAATTTCTATTGGCCCTCACAAGATTTTTGAGCAATAGAATGTTCTTAATATACTTCACAGAAATGTCAAAGCTAACTGTGTTTATTTGATGAATCAGAGTTGCTTAGAAAACAACTTCTCGCATCTGTTGAATTTCCATTTGAGTAATTTTATTTAGTCAGCTGTAAGAACTGAGTTAAGCTAATTGCACAAGTTTAAATATGCAACAAACAGTGCAGGCTAATAAGGAAATGACTGAAGGCTATAAATAGGTGAATGATAAATAAAGTTAAGCACCTGATAAAGAAATGCATAAGTTGCGGAAATAGCTAGTCTGGCATATTTGTTGATATAGATATACTATATCAATATATTGCCGTTCAATGCAGCTTTCGCCGTGCTCTTTTATTACTATGTGCACCAGTCTGTGATTGTGTCACATAATTGAGCCATTCAAGTCGGTTGGGCTCAGCTGTTGCTGCCGTTTGGCCAAGCGAATTGCCAACTGCAATGCGTCATTCCTGCTGCTAATCGTATGTTATTTGGTTTGTTGTTGTTGTTGTTGTTGTTGTTATTGCTGTTATAAGCGCACATAAATTAAAAGTGCCGCCGGGCCCAGGCTGTAATCCCAAGCCAATTGCTACGCATAACTCGCTTGACGACTTCGGCAGACACTGCGACTGTCGCCAGTCGCCAGTCGCGAGGCAGCTGAGAGTCGACGGCGAATTCCTCAACGATGACGTCGCAGACGATTGGCTGACATTGGCCATGGGCCTATGGCTCAGTTACTCTGGTAATTGTTGTCAGTTTGCTTGCCATGAATAAACAGATATATATTTATCTATACACATTTAAATAATATATACTTGATGCCTTCATGGTGCTGCACAGCAATGAGTTGACGCCACCCACAACTATTTGTAAATCGACTCGTAAAACTGTTGTTCGCCCATATGAGCGTAAGTGGGCGATAGTTGAGTGATTTATGAGCGTCTTTTCATTGCACTTCTCAGTGGGAGACAGCATTCAAATGGCATTCGTTGACAAATTATATCTGATATATGCATATGTGTGTATGTGTGCCTGCATGGCCCATTGCGTCTCACTGACCTTGATCTTGAACTTGCCTTTGCCAGCTAAGGCTGATATTTATGTAAATATCTATATTTATTACAGCATCAGCATCGGCGTTGGCAGCGAGTTGCATTGGCGATGAAGTCACTTTCGGTTTTGGGTCACACGAAAATGTGTTTTTAATTTGATTTTTAAAACTCTCGGCACAGTTCCCGGAAAGCAAAATCGTAAATGATAAAAACTCACACGAAACATATCAATCAGCGAAGCCCAAAAGGCTTATGAAACTCGGAGTCTTATGAGTACTATAAAAGATGGGGTAGGCAGACTGCTTAGATACTCTGTTAGCAGGAGGAGTGCTTGGGGATTATTAAGGATCTTCTGTTCAGCAAGATATAGGAGTATCAGTAATAAGAGAGACTCGCAATCTGGGCAACTCATTCTGTGTACCCACTTTAACCCAAGCCTTATAGGGTATATACCTAATATATGCTAGCCAATATCCTCACATCCCCTGCTTTGATTTTTATAGCCTTGCATAAAACCAAACATAAAAAATTAAAGATCAAGTCACAAGATCTTTAGAATATTTTTTTAATTCTTTGTATAACTGAAGTTGAGAAATGACCAAAAAGTTGTTTGTTTTTTTTTATTTTTATTTTATTTTTTTTTGCTGTTGATAAATGAGTTAAGGGCGTGTTCAGCAGATGTAGTTGGCTTTGTGTAGAATTTAAATGAGCCTTGAGCACACACCTTTTTTTTGTGCTAAGCTGATCATAGTTCAAAAACCTCGCAAAAATGTTGCCAAACTTCCAATGCTGATAACTTAATATGCAGTTGGCAAAAGGCTAACGACATGAAATTAACAAATTACTAATAAATGTAAACAGAAAATATGAAAACAAATATTCGAAAGATCACTCAATCAGCACTCAGCAAAATTAGGAAGCTAGCTGAGTGTGCGTGTGTATGGTTCTTAATTGAGATAAGCGCCCACACATCACTCCTCACTCGCTCAAGCCGTCAGCCAGTCAGTCCGTCAATCAATCAATCAGCCAATCCAATCAATTGAAAGCGAAAAGCAGCATCATTTGGTGTTAACCTCTTGACGGGGGTTCAATGCGAACAGCTGCCACATAAATCTTCGAAATGCTTTTGGATTATTAGGTTCGCTATTTTGGCTGCTCGCAAACCGGTTGATAGCCTAACAAATCGTCGACATTATTCTTACAGCTCGCACAGCGAGCCACCAGCTTATTCAAAATAAATATAAACAAATCGAAATATAGGAAAGAGAATTAATGAACGACTTCCTCTTGCTCTCCCACTAGCTGAACTCCGTTTCGGTTAACCCGTTCTGGGCATAGTTAATTAAGTTGCAGGCGGCTAATTGAAGTTCCTAGTGCCAATAATTAGCATAAATTCCAGCAAAAACTAAAAATAGGCAAACAAAATAAAAACAACGACACAAAGCACAAAGAAATGTTAAACTAAATTCAGGTTTGCGGTTTCATTAAACAATCATGTACCCAAATGTATTGGCTCTTTATATAATATATTCCTAAGCATAAACAGACATAGCTGCTATTGTAGCTAGCCGAGTTTCCGCTCTTAATTAATTTATGCGCATTTTATTGATCACATGGCTAATCGAACCACAGCAAATAACCGCAACATACAGGCCAAATTGATGTCTTTTTGCACGCATGGAGTGTTAAAGAGAGAGAGAGAGAGAGAGAGAGGGAGAGATTTAGAGAATTAGTTGAGCTAAATCGACCACAAAATACTCTAGCACTCGAATTAGAAGAGAATTGTAAATACTCTCAATAGGAATGAATGGGTATGTGACAGTCAGGCCCAGGCAATGCAGAGTAGAGAGCTCTGCTGGGCTCAACTCAAGGAACATTGAGATGAAACAGACTCACTTTCTATAAACAACATATGAGGGCTCTCTATGAGTTGAGTTTACATAGCTCTCTTGCTCATGCTTGCCTATGAACTGCTCAAGCTGAAGGAAGTACAGTCAAGAGATTTATCGTATCATACAGGTTTGAAAGCGAATTCAGGCCAAATAAAATAGTGGAGTAGAAGATTTAGGGTCTGCCAATATAAGCCAAAACATTGCCAATTAAAGTTAGCTGAAGACGACCAAAAACACCTGCAAATGAGATTTCTACTGCATGCTCGCTCATTAAATAAATACACATAAATACACATACAAATACATATATATTTATAAATATTAAGTAGGGCATCGTGCATATTCATTTTGAGCTCCTTGTGGTATTGCTTTTGCACTCTCTACACTTGCCATTCATAAAGCCAACTGCATTTCATTTTAACTGTTTTTATTTGATTTTGAATTCATGGCATAGCTTGTGAGCTATTTCCCCTCGCTTTTTTTGCTCCAGCAGCCAATCGCAGCTGCCTTTGAGCGCTTTAGGAGCTGAGCTAAAATGAAAATAAAAAGAGAGAAATTGTTTCCATTTCTCGCAGCAGCAGCAGCAGCAGCAGCTTTAAACGCATTTTTCCACACAAGTGCTACGCAATCTTGCCCCTTGATAGTTGCACGTCTTCAGCTGCTCAGTTTCAGTGCGCCATTCACATGCTTCACCTGCTGCTAGCTATCAGCAAAGCGTGGAGGAGCCGCAGCAGCACGTAGTGCTTACATGACAGCCATATCACATCTAATATGCCGCTTGGCTGTGCCAGTTGAGATTGTCCTGTTTAGTTAGTTTGTTCCTTTTATTCCTTTTTGTTTTTGGTGCTTTACTTTTTGCATGGTAATCTTATTGCCCCTGGAGCCTCGTCATGACGCTGCCTCAGAGCTGTTTCAGTTGCCTTCAATATTATGTCCCGGCCAGGGCAATGTTCTGTGCAGCAGTCGTTGCACAGCAAAGCCAAATTGTGAGAGTCATGTTGTTAATGCTGTGCATTCCATTTGGCTTTTGCTGATGCTGATGTTACAGCTGGCAGCTGCTGTTGTTGTTGTTGCATGTCATTGTCCGTAGACACCACAATCCTTTGACAGTTCAGTTTTGTAACGACTATCAGTTGGCATTGCGGCCCTTGGGTCGTATGCGCAATATCACGCATACGCATAGCTGGCATGAGGCAGCAGTTTTAATTGAATTCGAGCGAATTGAAAGTTTTGCCAGCCTGGCTGGCGCACTTTTTGCTGTGGCTGTTGGTGCACGCAAGTTTAAATTAATTTCCAGTCGAGCTTTCCAAAAAGTTGTTTAATGAGTTTAGTCAATGAATGTTAACAATCAAACTGCTCTGGGGAATAGCTCTCACTCACTCAGTCTGCTCCTCTCTCTCTCTCCCTCTCCCTCTCCCAGTCTGACTAGCTGTTGAATGAAGTGAGTATTGAAATTACCCTGCAGCTACAGTCAGCCGGCTATGTCGATTAGTTGCTCAAATATTTGGAACGCAGACACAGGCACAGTCACCCGCCATTCACTGACTCATCCTCTATATCCCAAGACCCAACCCAACCCATTTTCTGGGAACTTCACAATGGCAATGCTTTGTATGCCAATTGGATACGATTTAAATATGTTTTCGTTTTTTCTCCTATTTTTTATTTTTTTATTTTTTGGGTCACTTCATCAACTGTTTCAGTTATCAATCATTTCCGCTCCATGAGCAATAGCAAAACTACCTGCACAACTATGATATAACCTTTTTTTTCCCCCGTCTGTTGCTTCGACTCAATATCAGCTGCATCGCATCGCATTAGCTCTGACTTTGACTCAAAACACGTACTCAGCGCCCAAGTATGCGCGATGACTGACTGATATAACCCATTCGCTGACCCCTTCCCTTCCCTTCGGCTGTTTTCTGTGTGCATTTCAAATTGTCAGCTGGATTTGCGTGCGAGGCGCAGGCGCCAGCGACGACGTCAGCCTCTATACTCAAGCTGGAGCTATAACTACAGCCACAGCGACTATAAATGACAATAACAGCCTACAAAATCTACAG